AGATTGATCTATGCTTCTTACGGTAGAACGAAAGACAATGAACTGATTAAAGTCAATATCTGAAAGGGCATCGCCCTTTTTGTAAATCCGCACGACTACTGTACATATGTACTGTATATTCTTTTCTTAAAGCGCCTCTTTGTAGATGCTGTTTTCTGACGCTTGTGCTGTCTGGTCCTTTGGTTTTGTGAGCGGATGTACGTCAGCCGTTGTGCGCACGGTCCGCTCCGTGTGCTTGGTTTTGGTGAGATCACTTGGTGGCCTTTTGCTGACCACCAAGGGCTGTAATTCCTCCTGTGGCTCCGCGTTAAGCTGCACTGCGTCCGGAGGCACGTGGCTTCCGATGTTGGTACTGTGGATGTACTGCTGGATTTCCTTGAGGATTGCAATGCACGTATCCTGATCCGAAGCGCCGCCAGTCTTCTTTGGATGCAAAACCGGTTTTCCTCTCTCTAAATCGGTCTTAAACGCGTTGTCCAGCTCACGATGTTCAAGAACAGAAAACATTCCTCGATAAAGCATTGCCGTCGGAATAGCATCTGCATGACTTTTAAAGATCATTTTTACGTCGTCACTCATTTTGTCACAATAAATAATAATCGCCTGAATCCCGGCACGGTCTGCACGAATGTCCTTTATGATTGCGTTGAGCGCACGCAAGTAGTCCATTCTATTACTATTTCCGTGAAAATTAAATTTAGTATACAGTTGTCGATCAAGGGAGTAGTAAGTGTTTACATCCTGGCGAGTATTTTCGGATTTAATTACCCTCTTAGGATTGATATAATCCAACCTTCTCTCCTTGCGCAAGTCATGCAGATAGTCCGCTCCCGTGTTTAAAGCAGCTTGATAGACGGCAACTTGCAATAAGGCCAGAGCAGCCTGGGACTGTTGAGGAATGTTTCGTTCACTGTCATAATCCAAATCGCCAATGATAACAGCTATCTTTTTGTAAGCTTTTTCTTTGACCCATTCAATGGTAGGGGAAGGCCCTTCACTGGCAACATAATCGATTTCTACTACATCGTCCACCGCATATTCAGTACAAAATCTTTGTCTGCAGCATGCAAAAATGCCCCAAACAATAAAACCCACAAGGCAACAGCCTAAGAAAGCCATAATGATGTAGAAGAATGTTTGTGAACCCCAGGATAAACTCCAATTATTAGTGGGGTCGTAACCATTTGTATTATTACCCGTCTTGTTCAGGCAGTTTACAGTTCTCAACATAAAAATGGTAAAAATTACGATGACCGTACATGAATTATACTCGTACATCTTGAATAGCAAGATGAAGGTAAGACAAAGAGTAACGATGAAGGTAACGCGTTTGCTGAATTCGAAGAGTAAAATATTGCCAGCGATTTCGGCTTGCGGTTTACGTAAAGGCTAAGCCATATTAAGTTGCGAATACTACGTAACATAATATTTTTATTTTTGTCATCACAACGCATGATCCTACTTCTTTTCTGATACAAACAAACATCCCGGGTAATAAATCTCATCCGGATTAAATTGAACGGAGACGGCTTAATCGATATCAGCGGCAAAGGTGTTAAACCTAGTGCCAGCATAAGGATTATCTCGTCTTTCTTCACAAATCTATGCAATTTTACTGTTTAAAAATTTCTTGGTTTTTTATATTAATCACTGTACAATTAATTGCAGACAGTATGCGCGGCATACTGTCTGCAATCTATAATGAAATAACTTAAGCTTCTGCCTCGTGGGAGTAAATGTTAACCCCGCGTCGTTCAAATATTGCCGGTTCAATCTCAACCACCGGAAACATCCATTCAGCCGCTGCCATTCAATGATCTGCAAAGGTCAGCTAACAACTCAGCAAATTTCCGGCAATTTGCGCTTGTTGAATTCGTCACTTGTGACGCTGTGTATCGTCACTCATCAGCGTAGCGGTCTGCTGGTTGCCGAGCGCGGCTTACTTTATTTTATCAGCCGTCTAGTTTGAAAGTTTCGCACATGGAATTAGTGAAATTTTACTGAAGCAAATCACTATACAGTAAACTCTGTGAGATTGAACAACTGCGAATATTGAACAACTGCGAATATTGAACGCCCGTGTAGGAACCGGCGCGTCTCGTATACTGCAAAAGCTACTGCGAATATTGAACAGTTGGTTACATTGAACACTGTTGAGGGAACCGGAGGTGTTCAGATTACACAGGTTTTACTGTACCACCCTTTTCACCCCCGTTTTTTATATCCGCCCCTTTTCACCCCAGTGTTCTATAACCGCCACTTTTCGCGCCCTGTTTTTTATAGACACCTCTTTACTATTAATTAAATAAACACGTCCTGCTGTCAAGACACCCAAAATAATTTTTTTTAAAAAACAAAATAAATGTTGACACGTTTTTAGCATTTCGAGGCAACATAGTAATATTTGTGATCTGTCCTGAGAAACCATGGTGCAAAGAAAAACGTTTTTGAGTAGATCTTTAAAGCAAATTTGAAGATTTCGCATTTTTTCTTCGGGTCTGCATCCTCGCTTGGTTATTTCCGCATTGGTGAGAGTGTTGGCGATTTCGCTAACAGTGACTGGTAGTTTCCATCTTTTTCTACGTGAGCGAGTGGTTGTGAACGTGTGATCAACATTTTTGTCATTGGTATGTGGGATTTCAGTGCGCCACCGCGCGCACTTCCAAAACGTGGGGCAACGGGCTCGGCACGGTTTGTAATGCGCGTGGTCTTTGTGCCGGTATGTATAGATATGTTTAGCTACTCAGTAGCGGAATATCACTGTGTCAAAGCTGTCAAAGACTTAGCCAACTTTAACGATGCCAATTAAATGCCCAGTTTCTACGTATTAAAATAAATTCTGTTTATAAAATCTTTTTAATATCTGACAACGATAAGTTAAGAGTTAAGATTGTATAATATGTCCATATTTATTAGAAAGGATGGCATCATGTGTGCATAGTGAGAGGCAGAATCTGCTTTTCAATTATAAAAATACATAGTGTTTTATACAACCACAGTTCTCTCAACGGCAAGTGGTCATAACAACACAAAAAGAATGAACTGAAATCATTTTAACTGTAGCGAGCATAACATGGGTTTATTGCGTATAAGATGGATATTTGATATTTCTTGTTTCTGGACGCGGCGGACTGCTTGCCCAAGCCCCCGCCCACCCAGTATTCCTATCCCATGCCAAGCCTCATGATCTGCCGGTCGCGGCGGGGGGTTATAATAACGCTGGACGAGCCGCGCCGGATCCCCAAGATTTTGACCGAAATGCCCGAGGCGCAGCCTATGACCAATCCATTTAGCAAACAACCTAGTAAGTCGGCATATTAAAACGATTTGTGCTTGATGCAATAAGAATGCATTGCGATCGATTGTAAGCTGTCCAAAATGTCACTTATACGTTACATGAACATAATAATTACAAAGTATATCCAGATTCAGATTTATATTGCCACGAATGGAATACACCAGAGCCGGCAAACCAGAAAAGACTGACCAAAACCAATATTATATTCTGAAAGCCCGTAGTCGAAAACCCGGCCAGACAGTATTCATTTCTTTCAAAACCTCTCCCGCTTCGAACGCCAAAGCGGAAGAGTTTTGACTACCTTCACCAAATGTGACAAAATTATTATCATAATAATTATCATCGTGGTATTTTTAACCAGGCAGTGTTGCCACGTAAACCAACTAAAATATATGTAGTTAAAAAATGAAAGTATTTTCCACTAATTGAATATCAGAATGAATTTAATTGGCAGACCGTTATTACGACAAGAACGGCTACATACCTAACGTTTGTCATCAAGGACAATTTCTAAACAAGTGCCGGTCGAGCAGCTATCGCTACACTATCCCTACTGTGATTGTTTGTTCGATCAGTGAAAGACCGAACTGCCGCCACTGTTCAGTGCACAAACCCGTTAGTTCAGCGAGTGAGCGAAATACCACTATATTCTAGTTAAAATAGCCCGCTAAGCCAGTGAGTGACCGACCAGTGCTTCCGCTACTGTCCGTGCACAGAGCCCGGGAGGTGAGCGGGTGACCGAGTTGTCTCTAATGTGCAGTGTACATAGCCCGTTAGGGAACGAGTGACCGAGCTACCACTACTGCCCGGCGAACCGAACCGGTTACTGTAAGCAAGTAATCGAGGTACCACTACTGTCCGGTCATACACTACCGGGCACACACGACTTTCCAGTAAAAAGAGCCACTGAAGTGACGAGCCGCCGAACTAATGATCCAGTGCACTGTCGCTGTTTCGAATTTCATACCTTATAGACTGATATTTCGGCTTTCTTTTCGGGTAGGGGATGTCGTAAAAATTATCTGTATGTACAGTCAAAGGGAATGCTTTCAAGGTTGAGAGAATCATGAACTGATTTTCACATAAAATTCGTGTTTGCCCTATTACATGTACCGATCATGTTTCGGCGAAATATAGATGTTATTCTAATAAATATTCATTCAAATTCAAATAAAATGGCCATGGACCACAAGGAACGTGGAGGCAAAGCCGAGGCTGTTTCTTGTACATACATATGTTGACAATAACTGCAAAAAAATCGTATTTGTGGTGGGTGAATTTTTTTTTACAAAAGCCAGTCAACTCGAAACGACGATCGTCCTTAATTAGCTGACTTGTTATTCTTACAACCTTATCAAAATCAAATTAAATTTTTAACGAATTTCTATTTTACGATTACAGTACTTCTACCGTCTTTCTTAATTGTAACTTTCAATATAAGAATATCGCGATATAAGAGTCTGAGTACAGTACTGAGTACAGTACAGCTTTCAATATAAGAGTCTGAGTACAGTACTCTGTACAAGCTTGTCCGGTAATTTCTTACGATTCAGTACAGCGAAAAACACAAACTAACGGTTCACGCCAAACTCCATACTACAGCGCGCTACGCCACGCTGCTTAAACACGTAACATGCGTTTGGCTGGCTGGTGGCTTGGTGCACGCCAGACATTTAATGAGCACACTCGTAACTGCCTGGCAGAAGGTGGCTGGAAAACGGTCGGTGCAGTAAGGAGCAACCTAACTGCGGAGCGCATTTAGACAATGTGTCAAACTTAGTGACGTGGCAGTCGTTTTAAGCGCTAACTTCGCGCTCGCTGTACCTTTACGTAGGAAATTACCGGACAAGCTTGTACATAGTACATACATAGTATGTACTATGTTTCGAAATGTATTACGATGTCATATGTGTCAATCCGAAACAAGAAGAAATAATAATATGAAGAAATAACATCTTGGGATAGTGTTGTAATTCATTTTATTTATTCGGGTAGTAGCGGTACTCAAAGGCCTCAAAAAATGCTTTTCTACTTTGGGCTCATTACGTTGAGGTATACAGTTTGCCGAATCCACTCATGTATGTCAGGATAGAGGCGGAACCAGCACTCCACCGGACCGCTGTCTTGCGGTGTTAGCTGGTGAAAAGGCATTCTGAAGTTAACTGTTTCATCCAGAGTTTCGTCAGTGCCATCAAAGGCCACATTGGTCATCGTACCATGTCGCCAGTGGGGACCCAAGAGCGTCGCGTAAGGCTCTCCACTGGGAGCCATAATAACACGTCCGTTGTGGCGCCAGATCCACTTGTTGCGATAGTTCAAGATCATATATCTAGGCAAAGTAACGGACACGCTGCAATTAAATATCACATTATCTCCGACGTTTGTCCACACGTCCGCCATTTTGTTCACGAAAAGGTCACGTGCGCTGGTTAGTCGCGGCAGGATTTTGTAGCGACGTAGGACGTCATACTGTTCGTGGACAGGGTCCTTCAATAGGAGACATGTCACTTCGCCGCTGGAATGGATGGTTACATGGGCGATGCGAAAGAGGACCACGATGCTGGTCTGCGAGAAATTATATTTTCCGCGGTCCGGCCCTCCGGCCCGTATTGGTATGGCGCGGCCTTGATCATAAACGAGAGCGCCCTGATGTGTCCAAGAAATGAAGGACAGTGCGGCGCCGTCCGGTACTTCGCAGGTCATTGTGATTTCCGCTCCCAAACGCGGTCGACGGATTTTCCAGTCCGCTTCTGCACTGCCAAGCTTGGGTACCAAACTGTTGGGGAATTGAAGCTGGATTACATCGGCGCGCCGGGTACCAATGCCATCGTCCACTATGTCATCGACTAAATAAAGAAGCGGATTCAAATTCCAGTTACGGCATATCAAGCAATACTTACTGCATATAATTATCAGTCAACGGCAGAAAAGTTTTCGTATATTCAAACAATAGGTTGAAAGCTAAATTACATAATTTTTACTACTCTGTACATGCACAAGCAACAAGATAGAGCGCTTCCGGATAATAGCTATCGCTTGTATAAAAAACGTATGCACAGCTTGTTCACCCCAGGTGCAGATATTAAAAGAAATTGCTCCATTGTTATTTCCATTGCATTACAAGTACGATTCGTGCACCACAGTAAAACCCTTTTGAAATCTGCTCTTGCGCTGACAGTTATCAGCTAGGAATTGGAAAAGACTTCCCAGATTTTTGTTACTTAAACGTACGTATTTTTTTTGTTACTTAAACAGTTGTTGCATTAATGGTTGAAATAATTACTGGATGGTCACGTCCCTTAAATTAATAAATACACAAATTATCTGTTAGTTCGTACAAAGTGTTCTCGGTCCGGATCGATGAGCAGGAGCTTTGCTGACAGTACACGTCTGTACATTGCCTGGTTCAGGGCTCAGCAGTGACAGCAAAGCCCATAAAATCTTTTCCAGTAGGTGCATCTTCTGCTGCATACACAGGCACCCAGCATGTGCACCTGAATTACAATAAAGCGCCAGTTTGTACAGCGGTTAACCCCTGTCGCACCATCCGGCATGTGTAGCGTGGAACTAATCTTTTACGGTTGCACTGCGATTGTAGTCCGCTCTGTAAACGAAGATGAGGCGCAATCCGACTTGCTCATGCATCTTTCAGGTATTAAATATCGATAGATGATTTTCTGGGGATAATGGCAATCCATGAGCGGATCTTGACAAGTGAGGTCCGGACGGTTGGGAAAACGTCCGGAAAAATATGAAATTCGTTGTCATTACATCGTTTTTCAATACACTTGCAACAGAATACGGTAGGGAGTATGCCAGCGCATCATCGAGGAATAAAACTGCAATTATTGCCTGACGGCTTTTGCACCTGACCCAGAAGCACAAGAAGCAGGTACTCCATATTCTGATTGCTCATTCCCATCACGATCATGCAAAGAACATGATTATCGCACTGTACTTTGGTTTCCAGTTTAAATAAAATTATCATAATCCCTTTTTACAGAAAAATGAAAACTGTGCTGAAACTCAAAATCGAAATTCGTTAAACCGGTTTCTCTTCACCGGTTGAAACATCAGGTTCATCAGCCGGCCATGTTAGTTCGAATTAAGGCAATCCCAGCTGCAAACAGCTGATTTCATTCCAGTCGATCATGCGATACATTTACTATGTTGGAGGCAAATGATAGAATGTTGACAATTGCTACAAAATGATACTGCAGTCTGTACTTCAGTCGAAGCCCTGCCGTGCACGTGGCATGTACTGTAATGTAATGGAATTCCAGTTCCCTGAACAACTATACGTAACTGCTTTTCAGTTCCAACGAGTACGTACTCATAAAAATAATAATATTATTATATTATTATTAAGCTGACTAATGCTCTACCAAGGTACTGTATTGTACATCCTTACATGCTTAACTCTACTCTACAGGCTTCTTGGTATTGCGCACTTAACGTACAGAATAATTACGAAGTATCAGTATGCACATACTTAAATAAATTAATAATAATTAATGATACGTATTTGCGTATGTGGGCTTGTAATCCAGTGTCCCGGGAAATATTAAATGTACCGTAGCCACATGTACACCTACTGTACTTCACCATAGTGGATAATGGCTGTTATTAAGTACATTAGTATACCACTGCCATGTATTTAATCGTCGCTTTGACTCTCCACTTTGCAAACCGGGAATATCTGTACGGAGTAGGTAGTGGGTTGAGTCACACTCTGTGCTTCTATTGAGTCCTTTGGAGAGTCCTTTGGAGAGTCAATCAGAGTTGCGCAGCAACTCATCGCGTTATCATAAAGTAAAAGTGCACGATACAAATGCAGCAGAAAAGTTGTATTAAGCATACTATTGAAAGTAATGACCTGATACCCTCTGTTAAAGTAGAGTTCAAGCATCGATCACTCAGATACACAAACTACAAAGACAAGGAAACCACAGATGCGCACTTTTGGTTGTTGGTTTACCGACCGAAATAGACCCTAACGCCGCAGGTCAACCTGTGGAGTTAGCTTTAGTCGCAATTTGCACCAAGTCATTTGCTTATACCGTAAAGCATAGACCGCCACAATATTACTAGAGTATCCATTTGTGATTCATGGCGGTAAATTACAATACCTTTCTCTTACAGTTTTTTATTTCACATCCGGCACGTCGTCATCTGCACGGCGATCGCTTTGCGACGTACGGAATAGGCCGAATAACAGGAAAGGTATCACTGACATTGGCGTATTCCTTGGCACGGAAACGGCAACCGTCTCTAGCCACTTTCTGAGAAAAACGTAAAACGTAAAACGCTCGACAGATTTTTGTCACTGCCATGACGGAACAGGGCACGGTCAAAAGCTACAGATTCAGGAAGCATTTTTTGGCAGAAAAATAGGGTACTCCCAGGTCTAGGATGTGTTCATTGACAATGATTGAATCAGCGAAGCCAAACAAAAATAGATCTGTAATTGTGTGCTGCGAATGTCTCATTTTGTGCGTGCCTACTTTATAGCTACCATTTATCAATGCAGTTGCACCTTTTCCGAAGAATTTTTTTATTTTGGAATAATTATTTATCTGGTCATGGATTGACTGCCGAACGCGAACGGCGACAAAACTGAAATGCTACTTGTGTTACCAATAATACGCTGAGCCAAAAGCTGTTTCCACTGTAATAGCAAAGTGTATGCCATCGTTCGGTCAACTGCCAAAATTAAAGCTGCAAATTTAACTAGGCGCAACACACATTATATAGTGAAATCAGCACAGCGTACACAATCTTTGATATTAACCATCAGGAAAAGATCACTGCCTGAGAAGTCAAGCGGTAAATACGATCGTAACATAACACGACACAATCGGTTACAACCGGCAATCGGATGTGAATCTAACTAGCACTGTGCTTTCCGCGATACATGCATAATTTAACACTGAACAATTTATGCATTTATATTATTGCATTGGTATTATTGTTGCGCCATGAAATGCGTGTGTTTCCACATATTCTGCGCAGTAAGAGTTAAGAAGTTTACATACTTGTTCATGGACGCTCAGTACTTTTGTTTTTCAGGTAACAATCAGCTCGTGCAGTGATAATTTTTATACCATCTCGCTAAACGACAACACCGCCATCGAAAAGTGTGAAGCTTTTCCATCCTATTCTTGCTCTGTCTCGAATGCCGTTTGCAGAGCTTCCGGACGTGTTTACGCGGATGCCTTATACGGGGCCACAATATCGTATGGCTGCTACTGCGATAGCCCGACATTCCGACCAGTCATACAAGGGACCATCGCAGCGAACGGATTATACGGTCCCGGTAGTACGAAATGCTTGCCTAGTGAGTCCAATGGTTTTGTGTGCGCCTTCATATACATAACCAAGAACTTGTTTTTGTTTGTAGCGGCTTTCGTGCCGCGAAGCGCGGCATCATGTCGGATTGACGCGGACTGTGCGCTGATTCCGTACAGCCGATGCTCGTTCGACTGGTTCTCATTCGCCAATGTCTGCGTGTGCGATAAAGCCAGTGGTTACGAAACGGTTCTCGTGGATGTGAGCCCAGAGAAAAGCAGCCCACATGTGCTGTATCGTTGTGCAAGTATGTTTATGAAATACAAGCATGTTATTGTAAAAAATTGTTATGCTTAAATTAATTTAAATTGTTATGCTTAATCAATGTAGATATGAACGTAACAGATCGCTTGTTATTTAATATGCTGAGCCTTCAACATAATAAGAGTGGTCAATCTTTAAGGAACACAGTGTACTGCGCCACAATGTTCTTCGTCGACCACGACTACTGTCACTCCAATGACGACCCCGCAATCCGGCCAGTGCGAGCCCGGTTATTCCGTGATTAACGGGTATTGTGCGGGTACTCATGCACTTGCTAGTTGCTGTCAATGTATTTGTGAATTGGTTAGCCAGTTTAATTGCCAATTTCGTTATCATACGCCAAAGTAGCCGCAAATTTATTACGACGTGCCTCCGTAATTTTCATGGCATGACGGATAACGTTTGATGTGGCGCTTCAAAACCTTAAGAAATTTCTTCTACTCAGGGAATTTTGGAGCACGCTGTTCGAAGCCCAGTGATTGTCTTCTGGCTGCCAATTTGGACTGTATAGCCAATCAGTGTTTCTGTCGTCGGTACCACGCTCCTGTAAGATCGCTGCTTCTCGGTGGGAAAATTGTGGCTTGCAAAGGTTATCTAGCAATTCTATTAAATGTCTATTAAAGCATGTGGCACATTACTAAAAAGTCTTTATACATCTGCAGGCTTCGTTAACGCTTTCCGTACAAACTAACTGAAATTTTTTGCAGCGGCATTCGGACAGCCGTGCCAGTATCTTACGGATTGCGGCCGACCATACATGGTGTGTCACAAAAGCGACCAGTATGGCATGGGAGCATGCGCTTGTCCGGAAGGGCAAGGATGGGATACGGGCGGTAGCGCATGTATGTCATAGTCTTCATGATGCTTATGGATTATGCTGTACACAAATTTCTTTTTATCGCTATGAACGATGGTTTGCTTAAAATGCTTTGGTACTAAAAGCTCCGATCAATTCAGAAATCACTTTTATCGCTGGCGTACTTCTACAGAACAAGACATAGATAAGAAAATGACCTGACTTGTGAGCCCTGAGGTGAGGAGCCACAAATTAAGAAGTTTAGTAAACTCCGTATTACACAAATACGTAGTTATTAAACGAATTTACAGATTTTGAAATTTATTGCTAACATTTCGTCAAAGCACGGTGTAACGAAATTTTGGTCTGGATTTGTTCTTATGGGATCTGTGCAGTTTTGCACAAAGTTTCAAGAGGATAATTTGAATTTTGAGCGCAAAAACCCCATTAATCTTATGTCTATATAATTTGCCATTTCTTAGTTGCCCGGTCTGGGCGCGTAAAACCCTTCTCGCAGGAGTTATACAAATTATTTACAAAGATAAAGCCATGCAGATAAGACTTTCTTGATGCGTATGATAGGAAAAAATTACAGTGGACGTACGCGGTTTAATACTATCCCAATAATTATACTGGACCATTTTCCGGAATTGCTCTACGGCTTACAGCCACCTCCATTCTACATTCAGTTATTCTATTGCTAGTTAGGAGAATACGGAATAATAATTACTGTTTTCAGTGTACATTGTTTACTGCTTTCATCCATAATAACCAAGTTTGCACTGATATTGTTGTTTGTACAGCATCTGTCCTGATATGGCAATGCCATGCAGAGAGAGGACAGGACGTACGACTCGGTACCCTATTAACAATGTTTACGTGAAACCACAAATCCGTGTGTTTCGGATGATTGATTCACAAAAAACGGCATGTGATACACAAATGTGCATGTCGGTTCATTCAAAACTATTTCGCGCCGACTGATAACGTCTGCGCAGTTACATTTTTCGCTGGTGCAGCATGAAAGCTGTCCTGATAGAACATATTTCTTTCGGAAAACACAAAAAAATGGTTTCACTTGAGCAATGAGCAAAAATGCATTTTCTAACTAAAAATCTGTTGCATTTTCTAGTTAGAAAATCGGTTTAGCTAGCACTTTAATCTGTTGTCAGATGATGAATGTCGTACGTAAATGATAATTGTGCTCGTTGCTACACAGTTTTTCAATGCCGAATTTGCTAATGAAGTGCGGATAGTAAAAACCCTCAACAGAATAACAACATTGAGAAGGAGCTCGTACCTTAATACTCACAAGCAAGTACGAGTTTATGACAAGCAAAGTCACTTCAACATTAAGTACTCGACAATTAATAAGAAATTAGTAACAGATAATACGATTAGATACAACAAATTTTGTGCAAAAGGAACACAATTTAAATCCGTACAGTTTATGTCTGTATGCGACAAAATATGACACGTTACAAAATCTCTTTTTTTTCCGCCAAAAAAGTGCTGATTTAAGGGGTACTGTGACCCACGCGAACTACGGGTGACTACTCATGTGGATACAAGTACCGAAATCCATATGAATCACTCATTCACTGTTAATGGGGGTACCAGAACACTGCCAAACTACAGCAGCAAATGTAGTGTTGTGGTTCATAATTGATTCATTTGATGGTGTGTACTGTGTACTGTAAACTGATATTGTCGGGTATAAAAAAAGTGCACTGCACAGTTGCAAAGGATTTGATTTATGGTTTTGTTATTACTGTACACTGTACAGTAATAACAAAACCATAAATCAAATCACTGTAGTTGAATCCGTACGGATTATTTGTTCAATTTCATTGAACAGCTATGATGAACCTCTGCATAACAAATTCGAAAACGTGCACAAGCATACACATTTCTAGCTCAAGATACGAGACTACGAGTTTCTTAAATCAAAAACGAGCAAAGTACAGTAAAAAAGAAACTTTTGTGTTGACAGTTGTAGAAAGGTCGGATCTGAATTAATAAATGCAATACTCGTATTGGAGAAAATAATGTTGTACCCACATCTTACGTGTTGATACACTGGAATAAGTTTTTTACCGAATAGCAGATTACGCTGATTATGAAGAAACGACAACAGCGCTGAACAGACAGACCTTAATCATGATATACAAATTCAATGGGCGAGAAGAGTCGGTAACATGAATGTAACGAATAATCAAAGTTACCGGCGACTAAGTTACGTGACGACGTAATAAGGTACTCGTAATTACTAAATCCTGCCTCTTCCTTAATTCTTGCATTTCTCGCCAAATTGCGGACGATAACACTTTCCGGATTTCCCGCATGGTTGTTCGCCGTTCTCGCACACAATCCCGTGGGGGTAGCACTTCTCCCGAATCTTGAGATAACAACGTGCACCACATGCCGCTTCGCTCGTCCCACACACCGTCCCATTGGTGCAATTTTCGCGGATTTTATGGTAGCATTGCGTTCCGCAAGCTGCCTCGCTCATTCCACACACCGTTCCATTCGTGCAACTCTCCCGGATTTTATGATAACAATGTGCCCCGCACGCTGCTTCCCCCATCCCGCATACTGTCCCATTTGTACAGCTCTCGCGGATTTTATGATAGCACCGACTCCCGCAAGCCGCCTCTCCCATTCCACATACGGTGCCGTTGGTACAGGTTTCACGGATGCGATGGTAACATTTGCTGCCGCAGCGCTCTTCACTGAACCCACATTTCGGCGGCGGTAAAATGCGGCCCTTCTCGCAGGCTTCACCGTCCTGTGGCCGGTAGCAATCCTTGTGGCCGCATGGCTGGGCTCCGTAGGGGCACACGACGCCGTCGGTGCCAACTCTTTTGGTGTTCACATTGACTGCAAATTTTTGGTATTTATTTACAAATTTATCTTGGGCCACAGCAGAGATTGATTGAAACGATTGAATTATTATGCGCGATGTAATAAACGAATACGGCAATTGTCTTGATGGTATAACTATAATACGAGCATTATGAAGTGAGTACTGAATGAGCACCTAATCAATTTAATCGCGAGGCACTACCTGTACCGTAAGTTTCTATTGATTATTACTGATATATCTGTATAATATGAATACTACAAAGAACTTACCGGGGAAATATAGTGCTGCTGCCAGGACAGCCAAAATTAGATTGCTAACGATAAAACACATGGTTGGACCAGAATAATAATTATTGCGTCCTGTAATAATATTGTAATCTACGGTCTACACCAATGTTTCAACGGCCAATAAAAGATAAGGACTCTTTGATTTCTTTCCTTCTCCTAAAAGAGCATGTAGGCTTCTTTAACCACTAGTAGCAGACACGTGTAAGTATAATAAAGTAGTATAACAAAGTTGTACAATGTACATTATATCATGCCCTCCATCAGAAAAGTACGGTTGTGCTTTTAAGATCGCAATAACAGATTCCAGTCTAAATAATCGTTCTCTGACCACAGCAAGACAGGCATAAAAGCAGAACGGAAAGCGTAAGAAGTACAGTACCGAAATTACAGATGCTCTACCGGTTGAGCACATTGCGGAATGGTGTTGTATGATAAGATGTGATCGACTGTGATTTTTGTAGCCTCGATTGCCATGTGCAGTATTCAGAACGGTGGCTACGCGATTTTGGTTAGGCTATCCCAGGGAAGTCACTTTCGTATGCTCACTTACGTGGCGGAAATTTTAAGCAGTATGATGCTGGCAATCGTCTCGTATCTTATAACTGGTTGGTAGCAGCTTTGACACCGCCCATCGATTCCGACTGGCGCCCATCGATGAGTTGGCTCCAGTCTTCGGTGGGCCGGCATATCTGACGCTGTGTTTGTTAGATTTCTCCCTGTTAAAATCTTGAGACCATTCCGTGTCATGATACCGACTAGCCTTAAGATTTTAACATGGTTTGATTCTAGATCAGTAATCGAATACAGCAGTCGAGAAGATAACTTTTTGGAAGGCACAAAACAGTAGAAAAAATTATGGCCACTATCCACCATAGCACCGCATTAAAAATGCGTCTCGCATTCCAAGGCACGCAGAATATATGGCAATTCCCATGCAGAAGATCGAAAGGGACGTAACTATTCGGAGCTCACTGATCGTTATTTTTTCCAACCACTGGCTTTCGTAACTATGGGGAGTTCCGGCATTAGTACCGGTGAGCTTCATTAGGGGAGTTGACCGACGTATCGCAGATCAAACAGGAAAAGCGCGAGCTACCGAACATTTGTGGCAGTTCGTATCACTGTAGAACTTCAGCGCGGAAATGCGGCGCGGAAATGCGAGGAACTGCTGGGTGTTCTAGAGAGCTGCAAGAGTTATTTTGCTTGTTATAATTATTGGAGATTGTAATTTTAAGTGCAAATGGCGTGTACAAGTTATAAATAAAAATTGTAATACGCATGCAAGCTTCATTTACCGTACTTATGTGACGTTGTCACGGTCCCACAACATGCCTAATGCGGTCGGCAAATCGTATTACATATAAAATTTTTCTGACTTTACTTCGTTTACCGATCATTGCCCATAGGTTGCCGTAACCACTGAGGTTTTTTAGTGAATGGTGTGCGACTGTGCCTTCTCAAATCGGTGGTCGACATATCACAAAGCCACAAGGTACAATTCTTGACGAAACTTCACGGAATTTCTTTAGTTTTATTCTAATCATTTTAAAACCTACGAAAAATTGCAAGATTCAGCTTTTGGGATAACCTGGATTTGGAATTTGCATTGCTGGATAATAACATTAGAGTTAGAGGTTGTACGTATACATGTATGCCGACCACGTAATAAACTAGTACAGTAGTCGCAGTTATTTTTGTATATAGATACACGTTAATTTTCTGAACAACATTTTGAACAGCTGCGGTGCAAGTAAGCAAACAGTATTTATAAAGCAAACACTTGATTATCTGCATACTCATTAGAGTTTAGTAAAGATAATGTGAAGTAGTTATCCTTGGCTATCGTTGTACTTGATACCACGATTATTCCGCTTCCTAACGGCAGGCATACGTATAGTAGTAGGTGCGATACATACGATCTAATGGTTAGTCTACATATACAACATGTAATCGGCAGTCAGCAGAGCACCGTCGGCAACATAGCTCGTTGTCCAGATACATTGCATACTGCATTTGTATCGATTGCAGCGCACATTGCTGGTTCCATTGCACGCGTAAACCTCTCGAGCCATCACGTAAAATTCACGGATGTAACGTGATTCCGCAACAATGTCTCTGAATGGAAAAGTCGCCGTTGTCACCGGGGCATCTCGCGGTATCGGTAAAGGTATTGCGCTGCAGTTAGGAGGAGCAGGGGGAAAAGTCTACATCACAGGTACTGGGTACAAGACTTCTACGTGCACTTCCAGTGTTTCACTGGGGACTCCATGTACGCATCTATTGCAGGCCGAGCGCCAGCGAACGCCGACCGCGACGCTCCAGGAAGCTTAACCGAAACCGCAAAAGAGGTACGTGGATAAATTTTCTAAACTTAGCTGCTTTTGCTTTACGGTTTGCAGTCGTATTAGATCGAAAAACGTGGCGGTACAGCGGTAGCAGTTTATTGCGACAGCAGCAAGGATGACGATCTTTCCGCGCTCTTTGATCGCGTTGCCACAGAAAACGGCAGACTGGATGTCTTGGTGAACAACGCATACGCTGCGGTCCCGGAATTGTACCAGAATTTAGGGAAACCGTTCTGGGAAATATCGGAAGGCATCTGGGATCGCGGAACGCAGATTGGATTGAGGTACTCGATCCTCATTTACGCTTTAGCTCGTAAGCTGTTACGGTTTCAGAAAAGACACATTTCTTGTAGGGATTACTACGTTTCAGCATGCAAAGCAGCAAAAATAATGGTCCCACAGAAATCCGGTCTAATTATCAATATTTCGTCAATTGGAGCCGAGGAGTACCTTTTTACTCCTGTCTATGGAATTGGGAAAACTGCCGTACGCATTAAGTACTAAACCAAAGTAAAAGATCAGAACATTCTTATGAAATTGAAATCTTTGTGTTTCTTGCAATTGTTAATGATGTTTATAGCAAATGTGTACATTACATTTCATATACTATATACCGTTTAGCGATATTTTTGCGCTGCGTCCCGGTAAAAAACGTCACCGTGTATATTTTTAGTGTGACCGTATGGCTGCCGACTGTGCCTTGGAGTTGAAATCCCACGGTGTGAATTTTATCAGTTTATGGCCCGGTGCCGTAAAAACGGAACTGATGGATAAGTATCACAAGGAATTTGAGGCCGATGCCGCCCGATTTAGTGGAGAAACGGCCAAATTGGGCCTGAATTCTATGATCTTTGATGAACACGAGGAATCTATGGAGTATGCTGGCATGTGCATTGTCGCACTGGCTCAAGGTATGGAGAACACTAATAGCACCAAAAATCTATCCCGCAAAACTTGCGTTTCACAACACGAAAGTGAACGGATGCACATATTAAGTATAAACAATTTTTTATCGGCATCTTTGTAGTAAATCGTGTTTCCGCAAAACTTTGATGACCTGCTGTAGGCATCTGTTTGATAGTCTCCTCACCTGTGTTGCAGATAATGAGCTTACTACGAAATCGGGAACCGTGTTGACCACAGCCGACGTTGGTAAAACTTATGGATTGAAAGATATTCCATTTTAAATTTTCCTCGCTTAGTGAAAAGTGAGCATTATGAACGAAAGCGCATTTTGAATTTAGTATTGAATTCTAGTTTCTTTGTAAATTCGTGTTATGCACACGCTTGTGTCTTCCGCTGAAAATTACGGAAGAAACGAGTATATTTGCTATAATATTACTATTATTACTCCGTTTACTGGTAATCACGGGAAATTAAACTGATATGAACATGCTGCTTTATTTTTCCATTAATGACAAGTTAGCACTTATTATCTATATACAAAAAAACACCATCGAAATTCTGTAAAACTTTTGAAGATTTTTAAGTTGACGCACCGGCTTAAAATCAATAGAAGAAGTATTACAATCTATAGTAACATGGCTACACCACCACAAGAGTTTGAATGTGTACATTATCATATAAGTGGGCCCGCGGGTTTTTTATCAATGATAAATGCACCGGAAAACTGCACCATACTCCGGCTGCAAAACTGCCAAGCCGCGACGCCGAACAAAAGTCCTGATGCACCGTCTGCTGGCATAGTTGACGCAGCAGTTTCTCTTTATTTACTTAACGTGCCGCAGGCTCGAGAGTCTGAGTAATATCGATTTTTCATGCGGTGGATATACTCGTACATAGAATATTATATGATAGACGGCGGTGTAAAAACACTACATCCAAAGCGGCTGGTACATAATGTGTAGCTACATATCGGTAAATGTACGCTTCAAAAAACCAGGGAAATTTATCTTCTATTCCGCGGCGGCGTAAATCGCCTATGTATTACAGTCTTTTACGAAAATTATACAAGTTTGACCATGTCGCTCAGCGGAAAAGTAGTCCTTGTTACGGGCGCATCGCGGGGGATCGGGAAAGGTATCGCTCTGCAACTGGGACAAGCTGGTGCTGTTGTTTACATTACAGGTACTTCCGCAGTTTAACCGAAAAAATTCATAATATCGGATTGAAAACTGAGCGTTGTACGCGACGTATTTTTAGTTCGAGCTTTAACAAAAATAGTGCACTTGCAGGAAGAACCATGAAGGCATCAAATGCAGCAGCCGGCCCGGGATGTCTCCAGCACACCGCCGACGAAGTGCAGCGTCGTGGAGGCCAGTGCATTCCGCTCTTGTGTGACCATAACCGGGATGAGGAAATTGATGCGGTCTTTCAGCAGATTATCAAGGAGCAGGGACACCTGGACATTCTGGTGAACAATGCGTATTCCGGCGTGCCAGCACTGCTGGAGAACTACGGAAAACCGTTCTGGGAGATAACGGAAGACGTGTGGGATGCCGTTAACGGGGTGGGCCTACGGTAATCGGAAGTAGGAAACAAGCTACAATGTCTCGTGTTAAGTACTCTACTACGGTATACATATGTTTTCGAATTTGATTAATATAATTGCTAAGTTATAATAAGATTGTATTGTAAGTAATCAATATGTTACAAAGTAAGTATGAGGTTATATGTGATACGTAGTTGTATTGTTTTCCACGATACACGCGGGGATATTGTGGAGACAAAAAATTGTAAAAGGTTTGCCGTAGACGCCAAATTAAGAACAGCTGACAATATCTATTTAAAATGAAAAAATATTAATGTATATTGTTGATTTCCATACAGGAACCATTACATTTGCGCTGTTAAAGCCGCTCGCATCATGACGCAGCAAAAATCCGGATTGATCATCAACGTGTCGTCATCAGGGGCGGTGGTTATTTTTTCACACCGGTCTACGGAATCGGAAAAGCAGCAGTATGCGGTTTATTTGTCTTGCTTTTTGTGCGAAAGCATAAAAATAGTAGAGAAAACCTCCATCTATCTGCACTCTTTGAAGCTGTTAATTAATAACAAACTAATCCAGTAATTATTTGCTTTAGTGTGATAGGATGGCAGCCGACTGTGCCATTGAGCTAAGACCACACAATGTGACCTTTATTAGCCTCTGGCCAGGCGCCGTGAAAACGGAGATGATCAGCGAGAATCTCAGTGGCAAGGGCAAGATTGCCCAAAATCACAATATGGCGGCGATTGGCTTTGGAGAATCAACGGAATTCCCAGGGATGTGTATCGTGGCATTAGCGAAAGGTCAGTATCCACTACTCAGTTCTGCGCTCGTATACATACCTGGGAGTCTATGACGTACAAGTGCGGTACATGTAATTTGAATATGCATGCGCGGTAGTATGAAAATTAGTATAGTGTTACCGTACAGCGTATAGTTGCTCAAAGCGTACGTAAACAAATTTTACGGGGATTGCGATTTGCGAGCTAAGACTGCAAAGCTCACGTCAGTCATTCATTGAACTGAGTGAACTGAATGGTTTGTATGGGATGGCTAAATTAACATTGAAATCTGCCCGATTTTGCTCAGTATTTTGGACTTGCCGGATTGCTCAAACTCAGAGATGAGACTTTAAAAATTGTAAAAACTTTAATTCTTGAAGAATTATGCAAAATCATGTGGTACGTTCAATTAGCAAATTGCTTTCTCTGTCTACCTGATTCAGCACCGGTTTTCATCCTTCGTGAAAATTATGAGGCGAGCGCATAAAAAAATACGAAATATTTTTACGAAAATCCGCAACTGATTGTGCATTCAACTTCGATAGTCTGATTTGTTTTACAGATCCCAACATCTTACAGCGTACTGGCAAAGTGATTTCCACCTCCGCCATTGCACGAGAATTCAAGCTGAAAGATAATCCGGTGTAAAGTTCACGCCGACAGACGAGCATTAAATACTTGAAACCGGCATGTTCCTGTTGCAATAAATTCAGTTCGAAGGCCCCGATTCCGGCAAAAACTTATTGTAACTGCCGTATCTCGCGCGTGCGTGATTCGTAGATGCCTGAAAAATTCATATCCATATGATGTGTAATCTGTGTATTTTCTGCAAGCATTTTGCTAATGCAAAAATCCGCACCACCAGAAATATTCTGCTAGATGAATGTCATTAGCAGGCTGCAAATAAAACGAAATTTTACTGCCAGACTGATTGCTGTGATTATTCGGGATTATGATAGGAATGGTGATTGCTGATCTACCGCTTGTCCATTCTAATGCGATGGTAAAATGACGAATTATCGCAACCACCACTTAGTGACGGTTGTTGTTCGCAGCACCGCAGTCGGATTTGACAGATCAGTGCTGTATTCGTACACGATACGTTTTTACGCACGTTCACTTCTCGGAAGGTTTTCGGTCATTTGTGAAGGCTCTTCGGAAGGATATCCAACTGGACTGTGAACATGTTAATTTGGTAGAAAATTTATAGCGTCTATAGCTTACTTTCAGCAGCTTTTGACGGGAGTTGCGAGGGTGCTATGACACGGCTTGCTCCTCATAATAGAGTTGAAACTTTGTGTTAAACTGCCAAAAAAACCGAATGACGGCAGAGGCGGCAAAATGCTACGTATTGCAATACGAGAACAAAAGTTTTCATTACAGTCTGAAGTTTATTACTTGGTACCCGATAAGAATAATATCGTCAGTACATTCCTTTACAGTAACTTACCCTTTACATCATTCTTAAGCTTTACGCATCTCAAAGAAGTGTTCTAATCGAGTGTCACAGGGCCGGTCTGTTCGCTAAAATACCGGCACTTAAGCGATCTGTTCAACATGCGTTTTCTTGTTTCCTACAATCTGTGCGTTTTGTATAATCGTAAAACCTTTTACGAATCTAGTGCCATATAAATCTAGCTATAATTAATCTAGTGCCATATCTAGCTGTTTTCAGGGTTCAGAGACTTTAGACAAAACATTCTAAATTAACACCAGACGTACATAATAAATGACAATTAACGAGTTAATTGATGTTAATGTTAGCTGGAGGACATGCGCTCCCGCTCTCTCTCCTTTCGCCGTGTGTTGCGAGTTACGTGAGTCTGTTGGTGGCGCTGCGCGTCGCCGTGGCGCTTAGATCAAAGCGGCCGCCGTCATGCACGGGCATGCTGTTTGCACTTGGCACTGTTTCGTGTGCTCGCATTGCATGGTTCTGCAGTTCTCATTGCTGTCTGTCTGTGCTCCTTCGATATCGTGTGCGCGCGAGTGATCTCTGTTCTTTTATCTTGATCTCTCGCGAGTGATCTCTGTTCTCTGGGAGATTTTTCATCTTCCTAGATCTGCATCTTGGATTTCGGAATGTTTAGCCGTTCCGCGCGCCGTGTTCCGCGCACCTGCGACAGCTGATATCTAGCTGCCATCTGTGCGATGGTTCAGCTCTTCGTTTATCGCTCTCTAAGTCTGTCAGGCTGTCACCATCGGTAACTGGCTATATCCTCGCCAGAATTTCAGATCAGCTCTTTATGCGTCATCAAAATCCACACCGCATCCGAAGAGCCAAGCCGAAGCGAACAGCTGCACTCAGCTTGAACGCGTTACGTCGCTCACACGTTAAGCGGCCCTCCAGAGGACCATCAGTGCGAAGGATAAAGCGCACACGATCAACCACTGCTCAGCGGACAAGTTACAGCCGTCATCAATTATCTGCTGTGGCTAGCCCAACGGGAAGACAGGCCACGAAGGAAAGCTGCACCACTTTTGACGCGAGCCCTTCATTGGACGGCAGGACAGGCCTCCAGCTACGGTGGCGACTCGCACCACGACGTCAGCCAAGCCACCGACGACGGCAACACAGGCCTTCAACTACGGCTGCATCTCCACCGGACAGCAAAGAAGGACCCTAACTACGGCCGCTCTACCTCCGGCAGCGACAACCCCCTTCCAACGGCCGGGCACCAAGCTAGGCCACTGGCGAGAGCTGCACCATCCTCGGACGGCAAGGTACCGCACCTCCCTTGGACGGCTGACAGGCTCGTTACCCTCGGCGGCCCACACATCCGACAGCAAGCTAGGGATCTAGCAAGGGCACTTTTCTCGGACACCAGACAGGTCCCTACTCAACGCAGGCGTGCACCTTCGACGGCCGGTGTGCCCCGCCAACGTCGGCTGCACCTTCCTCGGACGGCAGACAGGCCCCTTGGCTACGGCGGCGCCCTCCTCCGACGGCAAGCAGGCACAGCAACAACGGACGCATCTTCTTCGGACGGCAGACCGGTCCGCTAGCAACGGTTGCGCCTTCCTCGGACGGCTTACCAGGCCACCAACTTAGGCTGCGCCTACCTCCGACGGCAAGCAGACTCCCAGCGGCGGTTGCAACTTCCTCGGAGGGTATACCAGGCCACCAACTTCGGCTGCGCCTTCCTCCCACGGGAAGCAGACCCCCAGCTTTCCTCGGACGGCAAACAGGCCCCCTAGCAACGGCGGCGCCCTCCTCCGACGGCAAAGTAGGCCCACCAGTGACGGCTGCATCTTCCCCGGACGGCAGTTAGGCCCCTTCCAGCGGCGGCGCCCTCCTCCGACGGCAAGTAGGCCTAATGGCCCACCAATGGCGGCTGCTTCTTCCTCGGACGGTAGTCAGGCCCCTTTCAACGGCGGCGCCCTCCTCCGACGGCAAGTAGGCTTAATGGCCCACCAATATCGGCTGCATCTTCTTCGGACGGCAGGCATGCCCCCTTCCAACGGCGGCGCCCTCCTCCGACGGCAAGTAGGCCCACCAGTGACGGCTGCATCTTCCTCGGACGGCTGACAGGCCCCCTTCCAGCGGCGGCGCCCTCCTCCGACGGCAAGTAGGCCCACCAGTGACGGCTGCATCTTCCTCGGACGAGAAACATGCCACTTAGCAACGGCGGCGCCCTCCTCCGACGGCAAGTAGGCCCACCAGTGACGGCTGCATCTTCCTCGGACGGCAGACAGGCCCCTTTCAACGGCGGCGCCCTCCGACGGCAAGTAGGCCCACCAGTGACGGCTGCATCTTCCTCGGACGGCAGACAGGCCCCTTCAAGCGGCGGCGCCATCCTCCGACGGCAAGTAGGCTTAATGGCCCACCAATGTGGCTGCATCTTCCTCGGACGGCAGACAGGCCCCTTCCAGAGGCGGCGCCCTCCTCCGACGACAAGTAGACCTAATGGCCCACAAGTGACGGCTGCATCTTCCTCGGACGGCAGACAGGCCCCTTTCAACGGCGGCGCCTCCACCGACGGCAAGTAGGCCTACCAGTGACGGCTGCATCTTCCTCGGACGACAGACAGGCCCTCCCAGCGGCGGCGCCCTCCTCCGACGGCAAGTAGGCTTAATGGCCCACCAATGACGGCTGCATCTTCCTCGGACGGCAGACAGGCCCCCTTCCAACCGCGGCGCCCTCCTCCGACGGCAAATAGGTTCAGTGGCCCATCAATGTCGGCTGCGCCTTCCTTCGACGGCAAGCAGACCCTTAGCGGCGGTTGCACTTTCCTCGGACGGCATACAAGGCCATCACCTCCGGTGCGCCTACCTCCGACAACAAGCAGACCCACCAGCGAGGCTGCAACTTCCTCGGACGGGAGTCAGGTCTCTTAGCAACGACGGCGCCCTCTTCCTACTCCCAGCAGACCCCTAGCGGCGGTTGCACCTTCCTCGACGGCATACTAGGCGATCACCTCCGGTGCGCCTGCCTCCGACGGCACGCAGACCCCAAGCGGCGGTTGCGTTTTTATTTCCATTTTCCGGTGGTTGCAGTTTCCTCGGGCGGCATGCAAGGCCAACACCTCCTGTGCGCCTACTCCGACGGCAAGCAGACCCCAGCGGCGGTAGCACCTTGCGCGGAAAACCTGACCGGATCCTGACATACCGCGGATCCTGCCATACCACGTCGGGATCATCACGCTACACCGCTCCGTATCGGCAACGTAACGACGCCGTAAAGATAGCCGAATTTTGCCTACTCCCAACGGAACTCCGAATCTTCTCCAAATACATCCGCAGAACCGTGCAAACTGCTGCATCCATCCCTATATTGGGTTGTTTGGGGTTTGTTTGGGGCCTTCGGTTGCGCAGGGCACTGGTCGCTCTCTTCCGCCGACCCCGGTCGGCCGGCTTCGCTGACCCACGGTCACCGCACACAGCCGATCACAGAGAGCACCAGCCTCCCAGCAGCCGGGGCTCCAGTGCCCCCAGTGGAGTCCGGAAGCGGTAACATTAAATGACAATTAACGAGTTAATTGATGTTAATGTTAGCTGGAGGACATGCGCTCCCGCTCTCTCCTTTCGCCGTGTGTTGCGAGTTACGTGAGTCTGTTGGTGGCGCTGCGCGTCGCCGTGGCGCTTAGATCAAAGCGGCCGCCGTCATGCACGGGCATGCTGTTTGCACTTGGCACTGTTTCGTGTGCTCGCATTGCATGGTTCTGCAGTTCTCATTGCTGTCTGTCTGTGCTCCTTCGATATCGTGTGCGCGCGAGTGATCTCTGTTCTTTTACCACCCGCCACACCCTGCTGTTTTCTTCTGCTGTTATTTCGCACTTGCTCAATAAAGGGGCCTTCGGTTGCGCAGGGCACTGGTCGCTCTCTTCCGCCGACCCCCGGTCGGCCGGCTTCTCGCTGACCCACGGTCACCGCACACAGCCGATCACAGAGAGCACCAGCCTCCCAGCAGCCGGGGCTCCAGTGCCCCCAGTGGAGTCCGGAAGCGGTAACATTAATTACTATTGCACTATTGCACGCGCAATAGTGCCGGAACCGTGCGCTAAAAAGTCCACACGGAATTTGGTCATTAGCGGTACCCTGACAGAAATCCAAAGGTCAGGTCAACTATTTTTTAAAATTTTTAAGCAACTGCTACACATGTGAAATGTTTGTTTTATTTTTAAAAAAACTGGAAAGGAAGCGACCTATGTATTACGCCCGCTCAAACATGCATTTTTAAAAAAATTTCATCGCCAACCCGTAATTATTGTCATATTCTGTTTAATTGCGATGGTGCTAAATCAGCCCGCCTTCAGCTTATTATTATTTCCTTCTCTGCTAACGTCATGCAGCTCACATATGACCTGTGTGCAGTGTTGGTTTAAAAATATTACGTATACCATTTCTGTAAAGGAGATGAACCAAACAAATTTCTGGAAATTTCGAAATAGACACTGAAATGTCGCACGGTATCTCCACACAACAGCCATCGTTCGTCAAAAGACCTTTTGCATGACGCACGTATTGTTTACCTGGTTTCCCCAAAATGCCGGCTGCTAATGGTAAATGCAGCGGGCAAAATACATGTAATAATACAGGATAGTGCAAAAAATTGACGATGTACTCCGGAGGAACAGCGCACAGCTCTGACCAATCGTCCACAGTACAGCGTACTACACGGTAATACCGTGATTGCTGTATTTTTGGACACATAATCCCGGATCACTAATCACTATGATTGGATGCCACCACGTGATCACGAGCTTGATCACGGCATCCCTGGATCAGTTGAATCATGTATACGTACTGCGCAGTAGAGTTAGTACACATATACGCCGCATACACGGGTTATAATAACACTTGTCAATGTATGCAAGCGGCGACATTGATCACACTTAGCCATATATTCCCGTAATCACCACTCTCCGGCCCTCGCTGGCTGCCTGATGAGGATTGTCCGTGTTTAAGGCGGATCCCGCGGCGCAGTCGCTCCGTCAAGTGGTCAGTAATATCCGATTGATTCAAATGATTATCTGGCAGCAGCCCGCGTACCAGGGCTAACCCCCCGAATTGGGAACACAATCAGTTCCACGTGCGCGCTGCTGGTGGTTATAATGTCTCTGTTGCGTAGGCTGTGCGCTTAATTTAGACTGGCACTCGCAGTAAAGAACAACTAAATGATAGTGTTGAGGACGGTATACCCGCGCTGGCTATATAACCCTACTCGATACACAGCCCGGAGATTCTATTTTCCTCCTTAGTGCTTCAAGATGCAGCATCTCAAGATAGAAGACTTTGAACCGCGAAATCCCGGCGCCTGGTCATCGGCGTCCTCGTCGTCCATCAGTTCGGGATCCAACTCACCCAAAGATAATAAGATGGGCTTCCGCAACTGGATGGTGGAGACGGAAACGGCCAGAGAGCAGACACCACCCAGCAGTGACCTCGAGGCGTCGCTACCGTCTCCATCCAATCTACCATTCTGTAAGTTGCAAACTCAGAAAGGTTTCCAAAAAGGTTATCTTTATTCACTTGTTCATTTGTCTTTGAGATTGTCTTTGATAATTGGTAATTACAAATTTACAATTACCGGCTAATCGAAATGACAAATACTCCCTACAGTTAAACGATACGTAGGGGGCATTTATTCGGCGGAAACAAACGTCGTATCGTGCCTACTTTGCGACAAAATTTCCTATCGTAGTTACGAGTAATTTCCGGTGCGTGGCTTCGCATTAAGTGTGGACTGTATCACTAAAGCGCGTCGTACGGCGTGCGGCGCTCCGAGTTATGCGGTCATTAGGCATTTTTTCAGCTCTATGATATGAAAGAATTTTGGCAGCATGAAATTAGCAGATTTAGCTAATATACCCCAAATATTAAGTAAGAAAATTTACCTACGGCGAACAGTTTAACCTGATAGAGCATTAAATGCGCTAACTGTTATTAGCGGAATTAAAGTAAAGGAAGTGCCCAGAAGGAATAGCACAAATTAGGCGCTGCGCCAAGTGACACAACTTGTTCATCCACTATTTCATGTTTTGTCATTAAAGGCCATTGTATTCTTTAGGAAACCGCATATTCTGAATATTTTCTCTAATAGTCCCGCGTAAACGCCGCGAATCGCGCAAAGAGCGTCGTGCCCGGACGACCTTTACCAGCCAGCAGACCCAGATCCTGGAAGCAGAATACCGCCGCTCCGAGTACATTAGCCGACCGCGCCGCTACGAACTGGCCACCCAGCTCAGTCTCAAAGAAGTCCAGATCAAAATCTGGTACCAGAACCGCCGCGCTAAGGATAAACGCATCGAAAAAGCATCCTGGGATCGACAATACCGGTAAGCCGGCGCTTATATCATTCTCTGGTCATAGAAACGCTTTAACTGCGCACACCATAAATAGCCGCAAGTGCGCGCTAACAGCATGTTGTAATGAGAAATGTCCCCAATCAAACGCCAGAGAGAGAACGAGAGAGAGCGGGCCTTGCGTGTGTCGCTGCAGTCAAGTTGTTATTGTTAAACCCCAATGATCAGTTTATCCTGGCTATGTATAACGACGTGGTTAATAACAGCAATTTCCGTTCTGTATGTTATTCAATTGGGGGCTCATCCTCTTTCTCTCTATGAAAACAGATGTCTTGGCCTGATGGCGGTGGCAGCGGCCGGTCAGTTTCCAGCCGGCGGGACAACGCCACCCGCCACGACCGCCACCGGATCATTGAGTGCCAATTATCGCCAGTTACTGACGAACAATCCAGCCACTCCACATCCGCTGCACATCTTCCCCACCGGCAGTCATGCGCCCCTCTCGCTCCCCTTTCCCTTCCTGACCACCATGCATATGGCAGCGGCAGCCGCGGCGGCGGCGCGCGCAGGAACGGCACAATTTAATGTCGACAAGGAAAAAGTTAAAATCAAGTGACACCGGGAAACGTTTCAAATGAGTCATTTTGTTACTATATAAAGCGAATTATACACGTTGTTTTCTTAATATGGATGATAATTTAGAATTAATTTTTAGTGTGGTGTACTGCGTACAGATGCACACCATTATTATTGATTTTTTTATTATTATCATGATTGCGGCGCTGTTTGTAATAATCTTAGCGGCACATTTCAATAGGCACTGATTTATCATCATAATCTGCGGCCGAAATCCCATTTGCGGATTCTGGGCGCACTAATCCATTTTCGATCATGATTGGCCAATTGAGAGCGTTGCTTAATGAAGTGACTGATTAGTGCGTGACTCGGACTGGTCGGATAGGACGATGTGCGTGTCAGCCTGCAAAGCCACTGATTGATCGGTTGGCGATACAAGCGGAACACGCCCCTCATTGATGAGCAATTTTCAAGCTAGTTAGCCGAATGTAATGAGCCAGCAAACATACGCGGTTGAGAGCCTGCACGCTAACCAACAAATCGCGCCAATCATACTTCCACTTTGCACCTGCTTGTTGGGGCGGTAATGTGTTGTTAAAAACAGATTAAGCGGAAGGGACTTTACAACCGACTTGCGGCTGCGCAGTTAGCCATTGACAATACAGTAATAATATCAAAACAGAATTGTACTGTAAACTGCAAAAAACAGTTTGTCAATCTACAGTATTAGAACTGTATGTATTGTACACCCCATGGCAATCCGCACAGCTAAGCGTAAAGTGGTGTGTAGTGTCCGCATAAGGTAATCAAAAAAAAACACAACTGAAATTTTAAGAGAATAAAAATATTTATTTATAAATATCCTTAAGCGCAGACACTAGTGTCGCTCATAGAAAAAAATTGGGCAATTTCATGACGCATGCAGTAATTGTAACTATGTATGCTCTGTTATAATAAAAAGTTTAACAATTTTTGCCATGTACAGATACAGTACTCGTACTATTTATTAATTTTCACGTACGTACGTATACAACCACAGCCCAGTATGCCTACTCTAGCAAAAAGGTCGCGCATGTCGTAAGCGCAGTAAAAGGGGATTTGCCGTGAAAAAATTGGGTGCTTGGATGCACCGAATATACTTTCTTCCAGACCTTTTCCTAATAAGAAAAAAATTTGGGAGAAGCAGATCGTCGGTTTACTGGATCTCGTTAAAATTCCCCGTAAAGCCAACGCGGCAACGGCATTAGGCAGGTTGCCAATGAAAAGTAAACCTCTTGATGGTAACGATATGGTCAGTTTTCCGACTCTTAAGCACACAGGCTGTTAATTTCCGCGCTAACATGCTGAAATGTGAATAAAATAGTAAAAATGGGGACTGATGTGATTTATAACTTAGGACGGTTCTGCACGGCGAAGCGTTTAAAACCAGTAAACCATCATTCAAATTTTAGTTGGCCTGAATATTGAAATACGTAATTTGTGGCAAAGTAATATCAAAATCAAATATTTGCATTAATGTTATTTGCCTAACGGTTAATGTGATCTTTTCGCAAATCTCTTTTTTAAAGGTCTGTAAAATGGGTCCAACACAAGGCTATCTATGGTCTCGGAAGCATGCAACTGCATTTGCAAGATTCTGAAACTGGCAATTGTCAGCGCAATTTTTATAACGTCAATTTTCCGAGTTGCAAAGGTATAATATCCGATAGCGAGCTGGACAAGCAAGTGCCGAGGTTATACAACAGCGGCTCACCCTAGTCTGGTACCAGGCCCAGGATCCAGCGAGGATATGAATTGTGGGCTTCAAATGTAGCAAACTAGACAGTTGATAATTATCACAAGTTCGAACCGATTACATTGAGGTTCACCGTCTGCCGTATCCATTCATGTAGGTCCGGGTACAGTCGGAACCAACATTCCACAGGACCGCCGTCATTTGGCGTCAGCTTTTTTAAGTACATCCTGTAGCTAACCGTTTCTTGCGGATCGTCGTCAGTGCCACTTGAGGTCACATTTTTTAACGTCGTATGCCGCCAGTAAGGACCCAGGAACGTCCGGTAGGGCTCATCACAGGGAGCGGCAATTACACGACCGTTATGGCGCCACATCCATTTGTTGCGATAATCTGTGACCATGTACTTGGGCAAAGAAATGGACACGCTGCATTTAAACATTACACTTTCTCCGACTTTCGTCCACACGTCCTGCATTTTGTCCACGAAAAGGTCACGAGCGCTGCGTAGTCGTGGCAAAATTTTGTAGCGCCGCAGGGTGTCGTGCTGGTCGCGGACAAGATCCTTCAACAACAAACACACCACTTCGCCGCTGGAATGGATGGTTACGTTGGTGATGCGAAAGAAGGCCACGATGCTGCTCTGCGAGAAACTAAAGTTGCCCCAGTTAGACCCACCGGCCCGCAATGGCACGGCGCGACCTTGATCGAAAACGAGGACGCCGTGATGTGTCCAGGATATGATGTTTATTGCGGCGCTTTCCGGGATTTCGCATGTCATTGTGACTTCCGCTCCCAAGCGCGGACGCCGTATTTGCCAGTCCGTTGCCACACTGGCAGGGTTGACTGCCGGGCTGCTTGGAAACTGCAGCTGGATTATGTCGGCTCGCCGGATGCCAACTCCGTCGTCCACTATGCCGTCTACTACATAATGGACATTTAACTTTAATAACAGCAGCACGCTAACCAATATTTACTTAACATAATAATCAGTCAACCACAGAAACTTCTTTATGTACCCAAAAATACTACACCCGTTTAAATTTGGACGCATACAAGCAACGTAAAACAGTTTTTCCCAAAACTTATATAATTTCCAGGAAGCTGTTACCGTGTATAAAACTGATAAACAAATACACACCGCACCCAAAATGCGGGCATCAAACATAAGAAAATTGCCCCCATTTAAGGTAATTTCCACTGCATATGCACATGTAGTATCGTATGTACTATGTACCTGTTTTACAAACTGGTCATTTTTGCCCAAATAAATATGTCAATGAAGCGTGCTGTAGCACTCAACGTTTCTTGATAAGCTGAAAAGACATTCAGAATTTCGTATCCCGCAATAATGGGAGCAACAAATGGCTTTCTGGCAAACGAAAATTTAAAATTAAATACCGGTGTCTGCTGACAAAGTTTAACAAATTTATGAAAGCTGAAGACATTTGGTTACTCTGTACCCAAATGTATCCCCGATCAGCATAGCATAGAAGAAGTGTTTCTGTTATAATAATCATTTTGTTTTTATTACCGAGTTTGTATCCGATATTCGATACTTATTAAAAGTACTGAAACTCTGTACATACTGTTTATCGAGAGCCATGTTTTATGGAATTCGAATGTATTTTATTGAAAGATTTTGCATTCTTGCTATACCGGTACCTAGTAAAGAAAATGAAGTCGGCTAAATAATCTGTTTTGTTATTAAAGTGAACACTGTATCCACCCTTGACACCCTCGTTTTTTATAGGCACCCAGTTTTGCACTCTGTTCATTTTTGACGCCCCATTTTTAGGGATTATTTTTATAAGCTTATTTAACTTATTTTGTACCGTAGTTATCTATTTGATGGCATGCATTATAATGGATAGGAACATATTACGGAGCGTGCATTTCACCGTCACTGTAAATCAGACTTGGGCCAACAGAGTTTTCAACTATCTACCCACCCCACCAAACCGTATAATTCCACCACGCTAACAAATAGTAGACCTTCGCCCACCAACGATAAATGTTTTTACTGTCCACCCACCCTCCCACTGGCTTTAAAAATTTTTAGCCAGCTCTGTTTGGCTCGTTATACACTTCAGCAATACCAGGTACTGCAGAAAGCAAGTAACCAAAAACACATGTACATTTTCATAGGCCATGGTGACTAGAAATGACGCTGATGGTAGGAAATCATCGCTGAGCACGGAAATGATTTTCTCGAATGTCAGCTGACAAAACAGTATTTTTTTAAAGTAGCGTGAAAAGGAAAAAGTGAAACCCTTACAATAAGGACGCACAATTGCAAACGTTTTCTCAAAGGACTGAAAATAAAAGCTTTACCAGGTCACGTTCTTTCATTTTCATTTCTAACGGGCTATCTGTTAATTCTTACGAAGTGTCCTTGGTCCGGGTCGATGGGAAGGACCTTTGCTGACAGTGCATGCTTGTATTTTGTCTGAAGCAGGTCTCAGTAGCGCTAGCAGTACGTCCAATAAAATCTTCTCCAACAGGTGCATCTTCTGTTTGCCACATATGCGCCCAGTATGTCACCTGAATTACAAGTATTGTAATATACCAATTTACACCGGTTGTAAAGGTGAAACACTCTCGCACCATTCGAGGCATGTGTGAAGTGGAATTAACCTTTCACGGTTGCACTGCGGTCGCAGTCCGCTCCCTAGATGAAGACGAGGCACGGTCCGTCTCGCCCATCCGACTTTAAGGAAAGGAAATATTGGTACAGCATTTTCGGGAGATAATGGCAATCCATGAGCGGATCTTGACGGGCGAGGTCCGGACGGTTGTGAAAGTCATCCAGATAGATATGAAATTTATTGCCATTACATCATAATTCAATACACTCGCAGCAGTATACGGTAGGGGTTCGCTAGCGCAGTATCAAGTATGAAATCGCAGTTACTGCCTGTCGGCTTTTGCACTTGAACCGGCTGCACAAGAAGCAGGTCATGCAAAGGATACGATTATCGCAGTGTACTTTAATTTCCAGTTTAATTAAAATTATCTTAATAACTTTGTGACAGGAAACTCAGAATTGTGATGCAAATGTTTTATTAAACCAGTTTCTTATTAAACCGGTTGAAACATCAGGTTCATCAACCGGTCATGTTAGTTCGAATTAAGGCAATCACAGCTTCAGCTGATTTCAAACAGCAGTTGAGTTCATTCCAGCTGATCATGCGACATATTTACTTAGTTGGAGGCAAATGATAGAATGTTGACAATTACTACAGAATGATACTGTAGCCTGTACTTCAGTCGAATCCCTGCCGTGACGACTGCACGTGGCTTGTAATGTAATGGAATTACATTACTGTACTTACTTACAGTACTACATTACATGCCACGTGCACAGCAGGAATTCGACTGAAGTACAGACTACAGTATTATTCTGTAGTAATTCCCACTCCACAAACAACAATACGCACAACAACAATATTTACAGTGTACGTACTAACAGTATTATTCTGTAGTAAATTCCCACTTCGCAAACACCAATATGTATTTAAAATGATTTCATTTCCTAAGTGTACGTACTAACATAAAATGAATATTAAGTGATTTCTCCGTACATCACCTTTCCCTACCCTTTACTCCGCACACAACCTTTAGCACTACTTTTTATTCCGTGCACAACCTTTTTGCGCTACCTTTCATTCGGTAAAGTTGTGTACGGAGTGGTCACCTAATATTACTATTAAACTAATAAAGGCTCTACCAAGGTATATCCCTGCATGCTTAACTCTACTCTGTGGGCTTCTTGGTATTACGTACTTACAGATTATGAACGTACAGATTAGACAAGACAAGACAACTTTATTCCCCCAGATTTCTTCTGGCAGGGGCACACCATGCGTTGTGCCGTATGATTAGGTGTAAAATTATAGCTTTTGCAGAACAAACATCGATGATGTCAAGAAAATAATATCAAACATAACAAGTTAACAATGTAAAACGTAAAACAAAAGGCGATGTAAAACATGATGTACGTAAAACAAAAGGAAGGTGAGTTTGGATTCAACTGCATTTTAGTTGCAGAAAGCTTTACATAGGCAGCAGTAACAATTCGCCGCAAAATACTTTGCGGCTATCTTTCAAGATCTGGTTAAAAAATTGCTTAAACAAAAGAACAGCGTTTTATCGTGCTCCGTCGGCGTGTCCTTTTTTCGTAGTAAGTTTTGCATTGTTTCCACTAGCTCGCCATCCGGTATTGAAAGGTCATGGAAAGCTAGTCGCTCTTTTAGTTTCTCCCTGTGTGGAAAGTATCCCGGACATTCATTCAGTGCATGATACTTGTCTTCCACAACCTCACAGAAGTTACATATCCGCTCCTCTCGTGACAAACCGTTCCATCTTCCTGTCTCCACAGCCAGATAGTGACCGGAAGTCAACATTTTTACCCAGTTTCCGCTTATTATCACAGGCATCGTTTTCAACAAGTCCACTTCTCCGCTTACCGGTAGAAACTGAAATAAAAAATGCAACCTGCTGCTCCTGGCAGCATTATCCTGTACCGACTTAAACAGATTCACCCGGAATGTTTTCTCGAGTCTCGTCATTATATCAACTGAATTCAGCTGTGCCAGCTGATTACGAATATCTTGGACCGTGTTTGTTAGGTTAATTTCGATTTCTTCCGGTAATTCCCTGAGCGCATTTTTTATCCAGCATCTCTTTCTGCTTTTGCCAACCAAAATGCTTTCCTCAAAAGCCGCTCGTAGAAACGTCCCTGAGTTTGCGCGACTGAGCTTTTCGAAAAACCGCATCTGCTGTCGTACTTGTCTGAGACTGAGTGGTAGCAGATTCAAAAGGTACAAAATTGCATCGGTGTTCGTAGTGCTTCTGAGACTGAAAATTCGCTTGGCAAAGTTGATCTGCACTTTGTCAATTTCGCTGTTTTTTCCGCATAATTCCGAGCCATAGGTTAGCACGCTTCCCACGACTGCTTCGAAAATTATTTGTGCAGTCTTCCATGTGAATCCGGTTTTTATCCCTGATACTTTCTGTATTGCCATGTTGTATCCCATTTTTACCCGCTCTGTTAAATGCTTAGCAGACTTCTTAAGATCGCATTGTTCGTTTAACACAAAACCTAGATACCGAAATTCTGGAACCTGTTCTAATTTTCGACCATCGATTTCAATGTGGCAGGAAATTTGTCTTCGAATAGCACCTTTCGCCACCATACAAAACGATTTGGCGTAGCTGATTATCAGCTTGTGTTCTTGTGCAAACTGGCTTAATCGATCTACCGAAATCAACAGTTCCTCTTCGTTTTCGCTTATCAATACGATATCATCGGCAAACTTCAGGAGGTACACAGGGAGATCTCCCAGTGCAATATCTGTTACACGCCCTTCTCTTACATATTTTGTTAAAGGGTCAACGTATAGATCGAACAACATTCCTGATGACGGATAGCCCTGCCTAACACCCTTTTCTAACGGGAAGAATCCTGACGATTCTTTGTTCCATTTTACGCAGTTTTTTGCCGCTCCATACATGTTTTTCAAAAATCTTAACATTTTTAACGAAATTCCTAACTCAGTCAAACGTTCCCATAACTTCTGGTGACAAACTGTGTCAAACGCACTAGAAAAATCGATAAAAGCAAGAAAAATCGGCTTTTTACGAAAAGCGTATTTTTCGCAGATGATGTGCAGTATGTATATTTGGTCAAAAGTGTTCCTGTCTTCTCGAAACCCACCCTGATCATCTTCGATGTGCGCCCACAGTTCGATTCGCTTCGCCAAGATTGATGACAGCAAACGCATGGGCATAGGTTCGACAACTACCGGACGACAATTTTCTGGGCTGTGGGCTTTTCCTGGTTTCGGTACCGGTGTAAGTGTGCCGTTCAACCATTCTTGTGGAATAATGCCAGATTCAAATACGTGATTAAACGTATTTGCTAGGATTTGCAAAAACTGCAGATTTTTACACATTTTTTTGAAAATTTCAGTGCACAACGGAAATGAGCCGCTGCTGCTTGTAGCGGCTACTTTTGCGACTACTCGTTGGATTTCGTTCACAGTTATTTCAGAGTCGAGGACTGGTATCGAAGGGGAAAGGTTAATATGTGGTGTTTTACTTACCGCAGAATCATAGGAAGCCTTTTGTTTAAAATACTCGTATAGATCATTCAGGCTGATAGGAACAACGGAAGTACAACTGTCTTCATTTTTCCTGAAGCTTAACATTTTCGAAAACATTTTTGGGTTCTCGCGCTGTAAATGTTTCACTTTTTCCAAATATATCCGCTCGTAAATGCTGTTGTACTGCAAAACTTTTTTTCGGAACTTCTTCCTGGCCGACCAAAAAACCTCACGTGTTTCTTCAGTGTTATTTGCAGTCATAATTTTCCAGCACTGTATTTTGACGTTCTTAAGCTCAAGAATTTCGTTCTGTAATACCTGGAGTTCTGGTGTAAAGGAATCGAAAGGTATTTTCTGTTTCCGAATGTTCGCCCGCACATATTCGACAACGCTGTTAAACAAGGATATATCGCCATAATTGTTGTGCTGGAAGTTATTACCACTGAATAAAAAGCATAATACACTTTCAATGTTCATCGTTAAAAACGGGTGCATATCACTTTCCTTCTTCTTGGTGTTTTTGATTGACCTCGCGATGTCCATGTTTAACAATATTCTGAGCGGTAAATGATCTGAAAAATCAAGATTTTCTAAGATGTCGAACTCCAAAATCTTTCCTACGCTCTGTTGATAAACTATCAAATAGTCGACGACTGAGTGACCGTTATAATGTATGCAAGTAAATTTTGATGGAAATGATTTTTCAAAGTACTGCAACCCATTAAGCGGTGTCATACCGTTTACACTGCAAAATTCAAAAAGTTTTCTACCTCGAGCTGTCGGTCGAGTAGCCTGTATATCCACGTTCTGTAAATTGACGTATTCGATACTTCCTGATTCATTTTCCCGGTTTACATCCGCTTTCCAAAGCTTTGGCTTTAGATTTGCTATACGTGCATTAAAGTCACCGCATAACAGTACGTAACTTTCAGCCCTTGCGCGCTGAACTATTTCCGTAAGTTTTTCAAAACTTTCATTGTCATCAACGTTGACAACCGAATTGAACGGCGGCAAGTAAACACAGACCACGACAACGTTTTCGTTTGCAGAAACATTTATTTTTACCGCTAAAATATCACCATAAGATTCTTGCTCGTAGACAATACAGGACCTGAATTCACTTTTAACATACACTGCGATTCCTCCCCCGGCAAAATTCGTTCGCACTTTGGACACCGTCTGATAGCCGGATACTTGCTTTATTTCGTGTTCGTTTTTTAGATGTGTTTCAACAAGTACAACCACATCGTGTTTTTTGATGAATTCACTGAAGTCGTTTTCGAACAAAGCGAACGTTCTTTTTAATCCGTTAACGTTCAGATAGACTATCGATAACTGCGTGTGCAAGTTCCTGGTTGCACGTGTACCACTGATATTACCGCTCTCTTCCGTTGACCAATTGAGTAGCCCGACAGATCGTTCGGTACTACGATTACGTTCCGTTGACACATTTGGTAGCCCGACAAATTTTTCGTTAATATCGCACTGCTCCGTTAAGCTCAGCCGATCGTTAATTTGAAATTCCGATTGACGCCATCTGTATTCAGCTTTAGTATCTGTAGTACAAAACGATCCCGATTGACGCTCAAATAGTTCAGCTTGTGGAGTAACGGCACACTGTCTACAGTTATCTGTAAGACTTGCACACGAGTTATTTCGTTCTCTATCTAACAGCGTGGCTCTTCTTACCGTATATTTTTCGATTTCGTAAAATTTTGTTGTGCTATATTCTGTTTGGTTTTCAAGTGTCCGGCTATCAACCCGGATACCATTGCTCTCGATTATTTGCGAGGCCCAATAACCTGACCTACAGAGAATTCTCTTCCAGGACTGTACATGCGCACTTCTTTCAAGACTGTAACCAGCATCCCTTTTTATAAAAGAACTTGCCGCCTTTTCATACAAATAATATGTATTCGGGTTATTCGTTTTCGAAGCTAGTTTTTTTGAAACGTACGGGATTTTAGAATTTTACTGACCTTCGCTCTGGTATCGTGAGATTATGAAGTATCAATGTGCAAAATGGGCAAAATGCAGCCGTAGCACTACCAGTGGCTGTAGCATTGCCCCAGTAGCAGTACCCATCCCGTGGTCCGTCTACGAGACGGCTGTGCTATAGCCATTTGTATTGCACTGCCGTATTTTGCCCAAATTATCCAATATTTTGGGTAAAATGCGGCAAATTGGGCATTTATCTATGTTTTTAGAAAATGCCCATTTTATAATATGAACGTAATACTGACCTTTCGCCAATTCCACGATACAAATGCCTGGGAATTCCGTTGATTCTCCAAAGCCAGTCGTCGCCATATTGTGATTCTTGGCAGTCTTGCCCTTGCCACTGAGATTCTCGCTGATCATCTCCGTTTTTGCACGGCGCATGCCAGAGACTAATAAAGGTGACGTTGTGCGGTCTTAGTTCAATGGATCACACTGAAACAAATAATTACCGGATTGGTTGGCTCTTAATTAACAGTTTCAAAGAGTGCAGATAGCGGCATAACAAAAGTATGTAGTTTTTCTCTAGTATTTTATGTTTTCGCACAAAAAGCAAGACAAATAAACCGCATACTGCTGCTTTTCCGATTCCGTAGACCGGTGTGAAAAGATAACCACCGCCCCCGGAAGACGACACGTTGATGATTAATCCGGTTTTCTGCTGTGTCATGATGCGAGCGGCTTTAACGGCGCAAATGTAATGATTCCCGTACAGAAAGCAACAATATAATATTAGGTGATTTTAATAATATTGCCATTGTGAATGGATATTGTCAGCTGCTCGGATGCAAACATTTTATAATTTTATGCCTCCAGAACGTTTGCGCGTGTATGTCGTGTCAAATAATACAACTGATTTGCTTTTTATTCAGGAAATAGCCAATTAACGTGACAATGAGCCAGCGCTGATAGACGACTTTACGCAGTGTATATGCCACATAGTCTGTTAATACGAACACTTGTACTGACTTCGCAACATACTGATTACGGTTAATCAAGTCAAAACGAAAACTGTTTAGTATACTGTAGAGTACTTAGCACGAGACATGGTAACTCGTTTCATGCTCTTTATTACCATAATCCCACCCCGTTAACGGTTTCTCACACTCGTCCCGATATCTCTCAGAAAGGTTTTCCGCAGTTTTCCGGCAATTCTGGCGCTCCGGAATACGCATTGCTCACCAGAATGTCCAGGCGTCCCTGCTCCTTTACAATTTGTTGAAAGACCGCATAATTTTTCTCGTGCCGATTAGGATCGCACAGGACGTGGATGTACTGGCCACCGCGACGCTGCACTTCGTCGGCGGTATGCTGCTGACATCCTGGGCCGGCTGCTGCATGAGATGGCTTCAGGTTCTTCCTGCAAATCACTATTCTTGTTGAAGAACTAACCAAAATATGTCGCGTACCATGTCCAGTTTTGAATTTCAGTCCGATATTATTCGGTCGTTTAACGGTGAATGTACTTGTACACTACGCACCTGTAATGTACACAATCAGCACCACTCGTCGCAGTTGTAGAGCGACACCTTTCCCGATTCCCCGCGATGCGCCCGTAACAAGGACTACTTTTCCGCTGAGCGACATGGTCAAACAGCTCAAACTTGTACAACTTTAGTAAAGGAATGGAAGACAGAGACGATTTTTGTGATTTACGCCGAATAAAAGATAAACTTGCCTCATTTTTTGAAGCGTATATATACCGATATGTACCAGTAGCCAGTAGCTACCAATTATGTATCAGGCGCGTTGGATGTTGTGATTTTATATTGTCCTCCATCATATTCTATGTACAGAGTATATCTACCGCATACAAAATTGATATTACTCGGTTTCTGGAGCCTGCGGCACTGTTAAGTAAGCAAAGAGAAATTGCTGCGTTAACTATATGCCAGCAGACGGTGCAAGATGCTTTATGGTGGGTGTACCGGGACTTTTGTTCGGCATCGCGGCTTGGCATCTTTCGCAGTAGTATGGTGCAGTTTTCCGGTGCATTCATCACTAATAAAAAACCCGCGGACCCACTTATATAATAATGTACACAATCGAATTCTTGTGGTGGTGTACGCTCATACACTCGTTGAGGAGAGTAATAGAACATAATAATTCGTAAACACCAGTTTAATTTAATTAATTAACGGGAAGCTGCCTCCCGCGGCATTGGCAATGGCATTGCGGTTGCAAGCCAGCAAAAAATTCTATATGAAGTAACAGACTTCTACTCCACCAAGGAGACATCCAAACTAGGTCCGTATTGCTTAATTACGTCGATGAAAATGACGAATCGAAAGATTTTGGCATTTGCATTCGAAGTATTGAATATCAATACACCCGTGCCTACCCAAAAATATCCTGCACGTTTCAGCTATAAAATTAATTATTTACATCCACAGGTGCGTTAGTTTATGTACTGTAGTTCTGTATATTATATACTATAATCTACGTGTATTCGTATCGGATCTGTGATCTAGCTGTAGACCGACTACCCAGTAATTAGACGGTAGTCATCGGCATGATAATTAAGCCTTTTATTGCAGATAACGAACTCATAAAGTCGGACACAGGTGATTCCGGCAAAGCGCATGATTTAAAAGACATTCAATTTTAAATAAACAAATATATATCCTAGTGAATAAATAGGTACAGTAAATAAATAGATAGATGTAGGACTAGTAAATGTAGCAAATAGTGTGACGAGTTTGACGCTCAGTGTGGCGAGTTGGTAAACCATAAAACCAGATAACATAATGAGTTTTTGAAAATTTTATTGTTGAAACAAATTTTATTGTTGAAACAAATTTTATTGTTGAAACAAACTGGTTTCGGCTACCGTGGCTTTCACCTTCATTGGAATATGGTGGATGTCCACCGCAGTTTGTATGACCAGGGGCGACCATTCGGCATTTGTATCCCCGGGATCGCTTTCCGAGTCGGCAAACTGGATGACACTCTCAGCGGCACAGCTGACGCCTGGGCCAACGGACCCGCCTTCCGTCTCCGTTTCAATCGTGTCATTTTTATTGGCACAAAAGGTGATACCGCCGCTAACCGAACCATTATCATCGCCATTCGCCGCTTCAGATCCGTGTAATATGATAATAGTCTCGTTGTCAGGAAATAAGAGCGGGCCATCATGCAGAGTTTCGCTGTTGCCCATAGTGGGCGCTGTCCGTTCCGCTTCCAGTTCCGGTTGCGCCGCAACTCCGTTCTGGTTGCTAGTGCTAGCGTGATCCAGCGCCGGTTTTCTCAAAATAACAAACGTGGTATTCTTCCAGCATAGCACTATGGGTGTCTCACTCGTTGAACAGGCAGTAAAAAGGTTTCTCAGTTCATCGGGCAGCTTTTCGCTATACACCACTATTGCATTAACCTTCAAATCCTGAAGGTCTTTTGTCAGTCTTTGTACAGCATATAAATAGGACGTTCCGTGTCCAGTCAATTTGCAGCTAGTTGTCCGGCGGCGATGCACCTTATATAAGTAATTACAATCCGGACAGCCGTTTTTGTTTTTTATGACCACTTCGGGAAGGAATTCTTTCGTGCCAAACTCGCGAGAGCAGTCATAAAGAAACCCTGCTCCTTCACCAATGGCCGATACATGGACACATTCGAAGGATGTCATTAAGGATAGAGCAACCCAGTGCTCCTTTATAATCCGGTCACGGCTACAGTACTTGATCCCACCGGCAATTATTACAGCTATACGCCGATCTTTTTTCTTTACAAGCCAGTCAATAACTGGAACCCCAGAAGGCTGACCTTCGTCCTGGGAGGAAGGAAATTTAGACCTGAACCGTCTTGCTCTTAACCACATCCGTCTACGTCTGTCCGTCAGCTTTACTGCAGTCACTACGACGCAGATAATCAGAAGGGCAAACAATATGCCGCTAACAATTTTCAGAGCAAGAATCACTGCACTGAGAATATTTTGAGATGGATCAGGGTCCGGTACGTCATCGTTTTCCGCATCACTGGTGCTATTTAATTTGTCGAGCAACAGATTATCCATTAAAGACTGATTAACTGATTGCAACTGATTGACTGATTTTGCAACTGATGGCAACTGATTGTAGAGTGGATCATTGTCGGTGCCCTCATTGCACAAAATAGGGCCAAGTGAAACCAGTGTGAGCGCAGGCGTACATGCGTACACCCTCGCTTTGGCAGTCTGTTGTGTTTTGTTGCACGCCCGCCTACGTGTGGCGAAAGCATGGTGTTCTGCGCGCACCCGCATCATGTGGCGGCTACGTGCGCATTTTTCACGCTTGCTGCAGTCAGCAATGCGGAGTTGTCCACGAGGAAATTCTATCGAATTTAGTCTGGTCTATAAAGTTCTAGCAATCACGCCGTTTCTCGCTTTCCATAGCGTAGGCGCTGTATAGCATTGCCAGATCTGTTTGGCAGGCAGAATTCCGTCAATTCTGTTCCTGCGCGTGAACCTTCATCAGGTCCACGCTCATATGGTAGCAAGAGTCGTGTTCTCCAGGATAATCCCTGAGTTTTTTCCGTCCATCTGACGAGGAGTGGAGGATTTCTCCCGCGAGAAAGGGCTCGCGTACGGTTTGGTGGCGAAGGGAGCGTTTGGATCCACTCAGCAGACTTGAAAACGGTGCATCTCTACTGCGTAGAGTGCACTGTATCAGTCTGACGCGACCAAGGTTACTGCCGTAGCTTTGGTTGGAGGGGCACAAGCGCCGAGAAAGATCGCCACAAGAGGCAGAAGCCCGAAGGGGGGCACGAGTGGGCAAGCCACTTTTGGACTGCGGGTGTGGAGTTCAGGTTCGTCTCTACTGCGTAGAACGAACACATCATACGCGCTCCCCCAAAAGGGTGGTCGAGCGCCCCTGTCGTCGCCAACGTCAAGGCACGACAGAAGACCCGCAGCCAGCAAGTCTTTTGGTCGACGCACCGCTGCGTCCTGCTGACACGAAGCAGAAGGGGTTATCGGCTGGCCCAGGAGAAGTCAGCTTAATCGCTGGAGGATTGGAGGATTCGCGGAAGGACGCGTTGGATCGATTCTGGATTCTGGAAATCGATAAAGGTCAGATTTCCGTTATTAATTTTAGAATTGGCTGATAAGTAGAATTTTCAATTTTCATTGGTCGGTTCTGAGCTGAGCAGAAAAGTAGGCAGTACTTTTGCGCACGGCGCGCTAGTGAAAATTTTCGATTTTGGTCGTGACGTCACTCTGCCTTATAAACTGAAAAACAACTTACCTGATTGGTCGATTATTCGCACTGTGATTGGCGCAGCAGCGTAGCTAAAGTTAGCTAAGAAATCAGCCAACTAGAAGCTGAGATTTCGTAAGGAGGCGGAGTTTTTGCGCACGGCACTCAAGATTGTGACGTAGCTAGCTAAGAAAATTTTCTGAACCAACCGATGAGAAGTTGACCTTTACCGAAAAATTGACGAGATTGATGACCTTTAATATAAGTGCCTAAGCTGAAGAAATAACGTTTGTTCTGAGGAAATCTAAGTTGATTTCTTAAATAAAATCCAAAAATATTCTCAGGTTAGACGTTTCTGACTAAAGTTGTCAGTGACCTTTATAAGGAAAAAGTTCTGAAAGAAAAAGTGACCTTTAACGCGACGGAGTAAGCTATTAAGCTGAAACAGTGGGAAATTAATCTCATTTTACTAAAGGAAGTGTCCTTTAAAAGGGATTCAGTCAAATTTTTTCAAAGAAATAGTGACCTTTAGAAGGGACTTAGCACTTTTTTGAGGCAGAGTGACCTTTAGTAAAATTGAGCTGATACAAAAGAAGGTGACCTTTAGGGAAGCGCTTGTTTCTGTTTACGTGTAAAGGGGCTTACGTAGCTTAAACTAACACACGTGTCAGAAACATTATTAGCATCGTCCAAGTTATCCGATCATCAACTCAAGTCAAGACAAAGATATGGATCAAGACGGAGACGGTAATGAACCGATCTCATCAGGGTCCCAAGGAAAACGGTCAAGGGACACGGAAAACCCGTATGAAGTGAAAAGGCAGCCGTACACGGCCGGTTGCTCACGAAAGGGCAACTCGAGCTCAGAAGACCTTTGGGAGGAAGGACACCAGAGGCTCAGAGGCCACATACCAAACGGCCCTGAGGGAAACTCAGAATGAGAGCTCGAGCGATGAAGTGGAGAGAACTCCGGGCGACATGCCGGAGATAACACGGTAGACTCAGCAAAGGTCACCGATGTGAGAATGGTCACAGATGGAGAGAACAAAGATGACCTGAAGGCCGAGACCGGAGGAATGGCACGGTCGGCCGAAAAGGTCAAGGAGGATCAAACTGAGAAGGGAAATACCGAAGTCAGCCAAAAGGTCACCGAAGGTGGTGGCGCCGTCAGCAGCGACATGCTGATTGACGAAGGAAAGGTCAAACAGGATGACCTTTCGGATAACTCACTGTTCCTACAAGAACAGCTGGAAGAGAATGGTAACAGCCCCATGTCAAGTGACAAGTTCTACACTGATGACGAGGACGAAACGACGATACGAACATCTTTCCATACGGCCTTGAAAGAAGCCAGTATAACAAAAGAGATGTTCGAAACGACCGCTCAAGACAGGCTAGAAGAGACCTTCGAAGGGACGGCGTCAGGAAAGGCCGACGACCGGGACCAAAGGTCACCATCACCAAAAACATCGGTACTAAACGGATTAAAGCAACGAGTAAAGGAG